GAACTCATCAGATCGCAACAACAGAGGAATAAAAACGCTACCTCAGCAAAGTGGTTCACAAATGCACTAAAATAGACTTTAATATAAAAAATAAATAAAATGAATCCATATTAATATCTTTAACTCTGTACAGGGTTTCCTCTGGTTAACTAATTCATGGACCTTTAAAATAATTAACAGGACACTTATTTTTTAAATGTATAAACTGTTGGAGCTCTCCAGCAAATGTGTTGAAAGTTGTTGATTTCTTTACACCTTCAAATGCTCACTGAGGCCATCTAGTGGTGAAGTAAGAAACATACGTGACGTTGATGCATCTGAGATGTATGAAAATGAGGTTTATGAAAATAACTTGAAAATTTAAACAAATTAGCACACAGTCCACAGCAACCTGCTTGAGTTGGTCAAAATGAAACCAGGTATTACAAAAGTAAAAATCCCGAAAGAAGAAACCGTTCTATTCTTGACTTCTTTGTAGAAAAAAATAACACACAAGTTCCAGTCAACAGCACACACACACACACACAAAAAAACTATGAAAAAAATAAAAACCAACAACTAACAAGTACAGGAATGTGTTTCTGTCCTTTGACAAATCAGTTTTTGCATGAGACATTTAGTCCTGTTAGTATCTGAAAGGTTGCAACTGTATTAAATTTAGGAGCTACATCCATTTTTTAACCCAGTAAATACTGGAAATGTTTGACTTAGACTCAACTTATTTATACCTTGGGAATACCCCTTCAGGGAAATTCTGGTTCCAGTAGCTTATATAGATTACAAAAGCAATACGCCATAAAAGACAAAAAAATAAAGACAGTATAAAAAGAGTGTATATAGTATAAGAAAGTGTAAAAAAAATTGTGATGTCCTGGAATATGTTTTCTTTAGATATAAAAATATCTGCAGAGTAAAGAGCTAAGGAAAGACTACGCAATAGTTGACTCGGATTATTGCACTTGTGCTGCAGAGATGGACTGACCTTATAAATTAGTAATAAGAATATTGCACATGAGCTAACCCTTGTCCCTCTACCTATCACCTCCTCCTTCCCCTTCGTGAGGATTTTTAGAATTCAATTCAGTTTATTTCTATAGCACCAATTCACAACATGTCATCTCAAGACACTTTACAGTTCACCAGATCATCCAGTCAGATTTATTCAAAGTTTTCTCTCTAAGGGAAACCAGTTGATTGCATCAAATCATTGACTAGAAATCAATCCCTCACACTAAGCATGCTTGTAGCGACAGTGGAGAGAAAAAAAAACTCCCCTTTAACAGGAAGAAACCTCCAGCAGAACCAGGCTCAGTGTGAGCGGCCATCTGCTGAGGCTGACTGGGGTTCAAGGAGACAGAAGCAGAGATACAAAAAGCAGCTGTAGAAGGCGGCCCCGTCCAGGAAACACAGCCAGGCAGACGAGCTCCGAGCCAGCTCCCATGTCAGAGGATAACTCAACTCAAACAACCGGGGTTGACCAAAGTGCTGTACAGATATCACAGTTGCCGGAAACAATGTAAAAACCTAAAAGATAAAATAAAATGCAATAAAATAGAACAAAATAAGTTAGAATGTAATTTTTGCCAGATGTCCACTTAGACTTGATTAAAAACCGGGGAGACAAAGATTGCTTTGTGAGGAGAGCACATCCAGCCAGTCAGTCAGAGAAACAGGACTACACTGAAAAACAGGCCGATCTCCAACATTTATAAACAAAGGCGTTGATGGCAGCAGCACAGCTGATATTTTTCTTGATGGTTTGAGGAACAAAGGAATTCAGCAGACTGTTGGTCCTGCATTTGGGGAGGAGTAATCTCCCACTGATCAGGCTCCTCTGAGTGGTGAATACAGTGTGCAGAGCTGACCTGAGTTTACCTGCTCTGGGACATCATCTTTGGTGCAGAACAGGGCTAAAGTATAGATGTTTTCTGTTGTATTAAACCAACACCCTCTG